CCTCCCCCCTCTCTCCTCCTTCCTCCTCCCCCTCTCCCCCTGTATCCCTTTCTCTCCCACTATGTTCCTCTCTCCCTCTCTCCCTGTCCCCCTCTCCCCTTCCACTATCATGCAGCATTAGACCCCTGGGTCACTGTCGCCACAACCAAATAGACTTTGGACTTCCCAGCCTCAGAAACTGTAAGCAATAACTTTCATTTTCTTTATAAATCACCCAATTTTGAGTATTCTGTTATAAGCAACAGAAACGGACTTATACACCATGTTATATAAAATTTATTATTTGGCCTTTTTAATTTCCCCCATAATTGCCATGCTTTTCTGAGGATACCCTGTGATCTTGACCAAATCAGAGCCACCCTGTGCATTGCAATTGCATGTGTACCTCCTCTTTGGAAGGTTATCTGGATCCTGGAGGAAGATGATAGAGCCTGGAGCTGAGCCCTCCTTTGTTCCCTGCTGTGGTTTTGATGCTGTAACAGGAAAGAGACAGACCTAGCGTGGCTGGGTATTTGTTTGGTCAGAATGTCTGGGATGGGAATAGTATCTTTACTGAGGGTGAGTGAGTCTTGCAGGGGATGAGCACTGTGCTCAGCGTCTTTGCTAGCAGAGGCTCCTACATCAGCTTCCTCTTCCAAGGTGGTGAGAAGAGCTCTCTGGGGACAGGACCTGCAGAGCTGTGGCATTTCTGCTGGCAGGGCATGGTCTGGTCAGCCACACCACCAGATGGGTCTCCATAAAATTGGGGGTGGATAAAATGATCCACAGTGCCCTCTTTTTTCCCTTTTTAAAAAACTTGATTTGTCCTGGCAGCTTCTAAAACCCCCATTCTGTGTATTGGCCACTAGGTGGCACTTTCTTTCCTTGATATGTCTTGTTTTAAAATCAACTGAAGAAGGACATTTTACTGAACACACACAGGGTTAGCTTGTGTTCCCTGTTGTTTGCGCTCCTGTGTTTAGAAACATCAGTGCTTGGTTGGACTCGTTAAATTGTGGTTGTTGGTGTGTGAAGTTCATGTTTGAAAAATCGTTACACCTAAGGTATCTTATATCTGGTTTGTTACAAATGAATTTCTTTCCTTTTAATACTACCCAATATCTGTTCTCTGATTCATTCACAGATTTTAGCTACTAGACGTTGAAGTGTGTTGTTTCTTAAACTCACTTTCTTTCTCTTACTTTATGAAGTAAAATACTGAACCACATAATAAATGGGTCTTCTTTACATGGCTTTTTAAATGATCCGGAGGAAGTATGACTCATTTCTGTTTTCAGCCTCTGAAGAACCTGATTTAATACCCCTTTTTACAGCATAGGATAGAGTATATGGCAGGTTTGTTAGGTTCTGTCTAGGAGTATTTGTTCTAAAAGAACCGATCCCATTTTAAGATTATTTAAGGCTATTTCACTTACACAGTAGATTCTTAAGCTTGAATCCTGTAAATTACATTTGCTTTAAAATACCAATGTTTTATTTGCTTTAAAATACCAACTCGCCCGTGGCTCACTTGGGAGAGTGTGGTGCTGCTAACACCAAGGCCATGGGTTCAGATCCCTATATAGGGATGACCGGTTAGCTCACTTGGGAGAGTGTGGTGCTGACAACACCAAGGCAAGGGTTAAGATCCCCTTACTGCTCATCTTTTTAAAAAAATAAATAAATGAATAAGATAGATAGAATACCAATGATGTCACAGCCATAACAGCCTTGTTTCTTATTTTAGGATCCCATGTGTTCTCCAGCATTGTAGCATTCATCCAGGTTCCCCAAGAAGGAAGATTGCAATCCCTTTGGCACTTTACTTAAGTAACAGGAAAATCAGCTTGTCTTAGTGTCTATACTTATTGTTATGTGTGTTATTGTTATTGGTGTCTGTGTTCTGCTTTTGATACTTCTTATAGTCTTTGAAATTGTCAGGTAAAGTGGGCAGATTTCTAGTTATTAAGGGTCTGCGGTGCCTGGTAAATTTCCCTACATGTTAAAATTTCAAACTTGGTGTTTGAAACACCAAGGTCATCCAAAGGTAACCTGTGGCCGATCTTTTTTTTTTTTCTCTGAAACGTCTGTTAAATGGGCAGATATGCTTTCCTTTCAAGTCCAATCTCTGTCAAAACTTGGGAAAACTGTGGAATTTGATTGGTTTGATTAGTGTTATTAAAAACCAAACTTAAAATTTTTCTTTTGGGCCGGCCCGGTGGCGCACTTGGTAGAGTGTGGTGCTTGGGAGTGCGGCGGCGCTCCCGCCGAGGGTTCGGATCCCATGTGGAGGCCGGTCCGCTCACTGGTTGAGCGCGGTGCAGGCGTGACACCGAGGGTTGCGATCCCGTTGCCGGTCGCGGTAGGGGCATGACACTGAGGGTTGCGATCCCATTACTGGTCACGAAAAAAGACAAAAAGGAAAAAAAAAATTTCTTTTACTATGATAAATGTAGCTGTAGTTTACATTTCTAACATTTGAGCCAGTGCCATTGTTTAATAAGTGTATTTGTTTCTTTTGCTTATAACAGAATATCTGAAACTGGGTAATTTATTTCTTATAGTTTCAGAGGCTGGGAATTCCCAAGTACAGGCAACACATTTGGTGAGGGCCTTCTCCTGGGTAGGAAATCTCTACAGAGTCCTGTGGTGACCAGCGTGTCACATGGTGAGAAGGCCGAACAAGAGAGAGTTAACCTTCTCACTTACTCTCCTTATAAAGCCATCAGAACCATGCCCATGACCACCCATTAAAGGCCCCACATTTCAAATACCATAATTGGATTTCCTACCCTTTTAACACTGTTACAATGGGGGTCAAGTTTCCAATACATGAACTTTTGGGGGGCACATTTAACTCACAACAGTAGGTATTAAGTGAAACCAAATTGCCAACATTTGGCCTTTTTTTTTTTTTAACCTCTGAAACAGCAGTTACATATGGTTCAACTCAACCCTATTCATTGAGTACTGGTACTGTAAGAACTAGGGAGGTAAGTAGCTACATTCTCTGCCCTGGAAAGAAGTTATATAATCAGAAACTCTTTAGAGAAGATTTGGTTAAGTATCTCGTGCCTTATCCCATTTATTATAATGGAAAAGGATGCTAAACACTTGGGGACAGTTCAAAGGTTATTTTTGATTAATCATAAATTCATTGAAAAATGTTTCCTGGGTATTACAAATTAATCAAGATAGTGGCAATGGTTTAATAGGGGACCTTCGTTTGTGATGCAGTTGACATTCATTCACTTAACATCTGTTTAGTGAGCATCTGCTGTATGGTAGGCATGTGCTAGGCACAGGGATATAATGGTGAGCAAAACAGTCATGGACCTGCCCTCAGAAACCTTACACTCTAGTGTGAGAAGATGTACATTTATCAGATAATTCCATGTGTGTGTATGTGATGGCTCTGAGTAGTATTTCAAAGCAGTATATTCTTCCAGATGTTTTCTGTATCCGACTATGTATTTGCAAAAAGAGGAACATAGTGTATTTGCAATGTATTTCCAAAAAGAGGACGATAGCTATTCTTTTATAGCTATGTTTTTAAATTTAATATTATATGAAGAACTTTTTACATCAATGCTTTCATCCACTAACTTTAACCTTAGCACAGCAGCCCATTATATTTAACTACCTAAATTGTTTCCTGCTTTTCTCCTATTATAAATAATGCTGAGAAAATATGTTTGTTTGGGGAGTATATTGGTTAGGGTAGTCTAAATGGCTGGAACAGTAGACCCAAAATATAATCATTCAAACACACTGAAGGTATCTGTTTTCCCAAGACCCTTTAAGGTGAAGGTTCTGTGGGGTGCTGTGTTAGTCCTCACTGCTACTGCCTGCAGGAAGTCCTAGGCCTGGGAGTTTGTGGGAGTTTTTGCTGCCAGTCAGCTCCCTGTTCAAGTAACAATCACCAGAGTGGTATTCCAACATAGTTCTGAGCCTGTTTTGTTTTATTTGTTGTTTTCTTGTCCGTATGCCTAACTCCTAACTCATTAGGAGCTGCCTTGAAGCCATTGAAATAATGGTCTTTGGTGGAAAGACAGGCAGTACCTTTAATCTGATTTTCCTATAGTGCTAGCTCCTTCTTTTGGGTTTATTGGGAAACCTTTGAAATTTAAGGCAGGGGTCTGCAAACCCTCCTGTTTCTGTATGCCCTCAAGCTAAGAATGGTTTTTACATTTTTTAATCATTGGGGAACAAAGCATTTCATGACATATAAAAATCATGTAAAACTGAGATTTCATTGTCTGTAAATAAAGTTTTATTGGAACACAGCCACACTTATTTATGTGTCATCTATAGCTGCCTTTGTGCTGTTATCTGACCTGTTATAGAAAAAAAATTGCCAGACCCCAGTTTAAAGCATTGCCTGGACTTATATCTTACCATTGGTTTTCCAGATTTTTTGAGTCCCTTATCTCTGGGTTTTGTCTATTACCTTTCATACTTGCCTGTAAACCGACTAATTCTTTCAGATTCCAGCCCTTATAAAACCTTGCTGAAAACAGCAAAACACACTTTCCAGAGTTTCGGGCTCCAGTAGATATGTGTTCTACCTTCCCAGTTGTCACAAGCTTGATTTTACCTGCCACAGCATGACAAGGGTTTCCTGCTTTCCAGCCTGCAACCTCCATTTCCTCTTCACTTGTTAATTGAGTGCCACTCGTTTCAAATTGAAGGCAGCACCTTTATTCTAGATGACACTTATGGTACTAGTAAGGGTAGTCTGTACTACTATAGCAAGTTGTAGACCTAAGTTATAGTAGGGCTTCATATCTCTCTAAAAGAACAATCCACTGTAACTGTTGTGGGTTTGGCAATGGTGGTGACACTATGGTTGGGGGTACATTCTATCCTCTGTAGTTCTTTAGGAATCAGGCTGGTAGAATTCTGCTGTCTTCAGTTTGTGGCTTCCAGTGGCACTTTGGACATGATTGTTCCATTCTAGAAGTGGAAAAGACCTGGAGAAGGATGCAAAGTAATATGTATGGCCCAAGGCTGGAAGTGCCCACAGCATGTCCATTGACATTCCATCAGAGAGAAGTAGTCACATGGTTACCCCTAACTGAGTGGAAGCTGGGAAGCTTCCATGTAGTTGGGCATTTGTTGGGGGGGTGGGGGATTTTGATGGACAGACAGCAAGCCTTCTGCCACCAGCAGGAGTCTTCCAGAGTGCTTGCTTTCTTGTATTCTCTAAATAAAGTAGGCTGAGGTATGAAAAGTTTGCTTTTGGAATAGGTTTATTTATAGACAAAATACCTATGCAAATGTGTGTTTTAAATGCAGCTCTTCAAATGAATTGTTTGAGAATAAAATGTGTGTGTGTTTTTAGGCTATTGCACATTATGAACAGTCTGCTGATTATTACAAAGGAGAAGAATCTAACAGGCAAGTATTAAATTTCTCGATATAGTTAAATGGGTTTTATTGTGTATGGTACAAGACAAATCTACCTGATACGCTGTGAGCACACTTGACTATACCAAATGCAGTTGTAGTGGGGTCCATGTGTATGTCTTTTAATTTTCTGTTGGATCATTATTTACTCTGCTCTGTTCTTTGTTTTAGCTCAGCTAACAAATGTCTGCTGAAGGTGGCGGCGTATGCTGCCCAGCTTGAGCAGTATCAGAAAGCCATTGAGATCTACGAGCAGGTGAGGGTGCGCTTGTCTCCTCGGACTGAAGTCATTCTGAACCATTCTCTTTTTTTTATTTTATTTTTGAACCATTTTTTAAATTCAATGTTTAATGTTTCTTCTTATTCAGATACATTTCACACATCATGTTATTCATTCTTTTAATGAGTACAATTCAGTGGTTTTTTATTATATTCACAAAATTGTGTAACCATCACCACTGCCTAATTCCAGCACATTTTCATCACCCCCAAAAGAAAAAAGAAGCCCAGTTCTTCATTACCCACTCCTCCCAGTCCCTGGAAAACACAATCTACTTTCTGTCTCTATGTATTTGCCCATTTTGAACCCTTAATATATATATACAATTACATAATACGTGGCCTTTTGTGACCGGCTTCTTTTACTTACCATGTTTTCAAGGTTTATCCATGTTGTAACATGTGTCAGTACTTAGTAACTTTTTATGGCTGAGTAATACTCCTCATTTAGTTTATCCATTCATCAATTGATGGACATTTGGATTGTTTCCATTTTGGGGTTATTGTGAATAATGCTGCTGTGAACATTTGTGGTCAGGTTTCTGTGGGGATGTTTTCAGTTCTCTTGGTTATATACCTAGAGATGGAATTAGAATTGCTGGGTCATGTGCTCACCCATGTTTAACTTTTGAGGAACCGCCAGACTCTGCCACAGTGGCTGCACCATTTTCCATTCACAACAGCAGATTCACTGAGGGTTCCAGTTTTTCCACATCCTCACCAACACTTACTTGTTTTCTGTTTTTAACACTTGTGTGAAGTGTTTTCTCATTGCTTTTGATTTTCATTTCCATAATGATTAATGATGTTGAGTATATTTCCATGTGCTTATTGACCATTCATATATCTTCTTTGGAGAAAAGTCTATTCAAGTCCTTTGTGCAGTTTTTAATTGGGTTGTTGGTTTGGGGGGTTGAGTTGTAAGAGTTCTTTATATATTTTAGAAATTAATCCCTTATCAGATATGTGATTTGGAGATATTTTCTTCCATTCTGTTGTTGCCCTTTTACTCTGTTATTAGTGTCCTTTGAAGCACAAAAGTTTTAAATTTTCATGAAGTCCAGTTTTTCTACTTTTTCTTTTGTCTGGGCTTTTCATGTCATATCCAAGAAGTCATTGCTTAATCTAATTTTATGAAGCTATTTCCCTGTGTTTTGTTCTAAGAGTTTTATAGTTTTAGCCCTTAGGTTTAGGTCTTTGATCCATTTTGAGTTAATTTTTGTATATGCGTATTAGGTAAGGGCCCAACTTCATTCTTCCACATGTCACTATCCAATTTTCCCAGCACCATTTGTTGAATAGACCCTTTTCACTAATGAATGGTATTGGGACCCTTGTGGAAAATTATTTCACTAGCATGTGAGGGTTTATCTCTATCTTTACTATTCCATTGGTCAGTTCATCTGTCTTTTTACCAGTATCACACTGTTTTGATTACTGTAGCTTTGTAGTAAATTTTGAAATCAGGAAATGTGAGTCTTCCAACTTTTTCAACTTTTTTCAAGATTGTTTTGGCTATTTTGGATCTCTTTATTTCCATATGAATCTTAGGATCAACTTGTCAGTCTCTGCCAATAATTTAGCTTGGATTTTGATGGGGATTGTATAGAAGTTGTAGACCAATTTGAAGAGTGTATTAGTCAGGGTTCTCCAGAGAAACAGAACCAGTAGGAGGTATATACAGTAGTTTCCCCTTATCTGTGGTCTTTGCATGTTTTTACTGTAGTCAAACATGGTCCAAAAATACTAAGTGGAAATTTCCAGAAATAAACAATTCTTAAATTTTAAATGTACTCTGTTCTGTGTAGCATGATGAAATCTTGCACTGTCCTATGACATGCCCAGGATGTGACTCATTCCATTGTCCAACTTATCCACACTGTATATGCTACCAGGCTGTCACTGTATAGGATAAAACAATGTATATAGGATTCAGTACAATCTGCAATTTCAGGCATCCACTAGGGGTCTTGGAATGTATCCCCTGTGGATAAAGGCAGACTACTCTGTGTGTGTGTGTGTGTGTGTGTGCACAGAGAGAGAGAATGGGAGAAGAGAGGAGTAAAGGGAGGAGACAGAGATGGTGGTAAGGAATTGGCTTGCTCAGTTATAGAGGCTGAGAAGTCCAAAGTTCTGCAGTAGGCCAAGCTGAAGGCCCAGGAGAGCCAATGGAGTAAATACCAGTTCAAGTCTGAGACTGAAGTTAGGAGAAGATGAATGTCCCAGCTCTGAGAGTCAGGCAGTGAGAATGAATTTTCCCTTATTAAAAGCCTTTTATTCTGTTCAGGCCTATAGTAGATTGAATGAGGCCCCCCAATATTGAGGAGGGCAGTCTGCTTTATTCATTCTACTGCTTGAAATGTTCATCTTACCCAGAAACACTCTCATAGACACCAAAAAGAATATTTACAAGTATCTGGGCACCCTACGGCCCACTCAAGTTGACACATAAAGTTAACCATCACAGAAAATATTGCCATCTTAACAATATCAAGTCTTACAGTCTGAGAGTTCAGGATGACTTTCCATTTATTTAGATCTTTAATTTTGTTCAACAATGTTTCGTAGTCAGAGTGCAAGTTTTGTGTTTCTTTGTTTACATGTATTCCTAAGTATTGTATTCTTTTTGATGCATTGCAATTGGAATTATTTTCTTAGTATCTTTTTCAGATTGGTAATTGCTAGTGTATAAAATACAGTTGATTTTTGTATCCGAAATACAGTTGATTTTTGTATCCTGTAATCTTGCTGAACTTATTACCTCTAATAAATTTTTTTGTGGATTCCTTAGGATATTCTGTATACAAGATCATGTCATCTGCAAATAACAGTAGTTCTACTTTTTCCTCTCCAATCTGAATGCCTTTTACATCATTTTATTGTCATTTGCCCTGGCTAGAACCTCTAGTACTGAAAGCAGACATCTTTATCTTGTTCCTGATCTTAGGGGGAAAACTCTCTGTCTTTCACCATTAAGTATGATGTTAGCTGTGGGATTTTTGTCAATGCCCTCTATTGGTTTGAGGAAGTTGCCTTCTCTTCTTAGTCTGCTGAGTGTTTTTATCATCGAAGAGTAATGGATTTTGTCAAATGCTCTTTCTGTATCTTATGAGATGAGCATATGGTTTTTGCTCTTTATTCCATTAGTAATGGTCTGTGACATTGATTTTCATATGTTGAACCAACCTTACATTCCTAGGGTAAAGCTTACTTGGTCATTGCAAAGTTTAGGGGTCCCCAAGAACACACTCGGGTATGATAATTTGCTAAAAGTACTCACAGAACTCACTGAAATCTGTTATACTCACAGTTGTGGTTTATTACAGTAAAAGGTACAGATTAAAATCAACCAAAGGAGAGACTCATAGGGCTGGATCCAGGAGAGTTCCAAGTATGGAACTTCCAGTTGTCCTCCCCCAGTGGAAGTGTGTTGACAGTGCTTTACTTCTTCCAAAATGTGCACAGAGCATTGCCGACCGGGAAACTCACCTGAACTGTCATCCTCAGTTTTTATTGGGGCTCAGTCATGTAGATGTGGTTGGCCACCTTGTGGCTGACCTTATTCTCTATCCCTCCGTAGGCTGAGCTATACCACACTAACCAAGGCCCCCAGGTAAACAAACGCACTCTTGCAGACAGGACATTTCAAGGGCAAAGACACACCTCTCTGGACAACACTGATCTTTTATGGCACAGTTGTGGTGAGCAGTCTTTTTCATAAATTGTCAGAACTGGTTTGCTGATATTTTGTTGAGGATTTTGATATTTATAGGGATGCTGATCTTTAGTTTTCTTGTGATACCTTTATCTGGTTTTGGTATTAAGGTAATTCTGGCCTCAGAATGAATTAAAAAGTGTTCTCTTTTTTTTTTTTTTTTTTTTTTTTTGGCAGAGTTTGTAAAGGATTGGTGTTAATTTTTTAAACATTTGGTAGAATTCAGTGATTTTCTGTATTTTTCTGTTTTTATTTTTATTTTTATTGATTTCTGTTTTCTTGATATTTCCTTCTGCTTTCTTTGGATTTATTTTGCTCTTTTTCTGGGTACTTGAGGTGGAATTGAGTTTATTGATTTTCCTTTTTTTGTGTATGCAGTTTTAGTGCCATCAGTTACCCTTTCAGCACTGCTTTATGTCTCACAATTGTTATATTGTATTTTTAATTTAATTCAGTTCATTGCATTTATTGATTTTCTGCTAGACTTTATTGACTTACGGATTATTTAAGTGTTTTTTTTTTTTTTTAATTTCAAAGTGGTTGGAGATTTTCCTGTAATCTTGCTGTTATTGATTTCTAGTTTGATTTCATTTGGTTGGAGAACATGCTTTGTGTGATTTCCATTCTTATGAATTTGTTGATGATTGTTTCATGGCTCAGAATATGATCTGTCTTGGCATATGTTTTGTGATTCAGCTGCTAGATGGTGTATTCTATAAATGTTTATTAGATCCTGTTGGTTGATCACATTGTTGAGTTCTTCTGTATACATGCTGATTTTCTGTATAGTTCTATCCATTGTTGAGAGATTGTTTGGTGTTGAAGCATCTAACTATAATTGTGAATTTATCTATCTCTCCTTTCATTCAATTAGTCTATATATTTTCCAGCTCTGGATTGCTATTCTTCTTGGTGGATTGACTCTTTTGTTGTAATGTCCTTCTCTGTTTCTGATAATTTTCTTTGCTGTGAAGTCTACTTCGTCTACTTTATAGCCTCTCCTACTTTTTTTCTGATTAATGTTTATATGACATATCTTTTTATTCCTTTTTCTTTCCACCTGCCTATATCATTATAGTTGAAGTGAATTTTTTGAGTTTCATGTAGTTGGGTCATACTTTTAACCTACTTTGTCTTTTAATTGGTGTATTTAGATCATTCACTTTTAATGTGATTATTGATATGTTAGGGCTTAATTCTGCCATTTTATGTTTTGCTTTCTGCTTGTGCTCAGTTTTTGTTTCTCTGTTTTCTTTTTCCTGCCTTTGTGTGGGTTATAGCCAGCCCTCTTTATTTGCGGTTTCTGCATCTGCAGATTCAGCCAGCCTCTGATCGAAAATGTGGTTAGGCCTATGGTAGTTACACCTGAACTGAACATGTACAGACTTTTTTTTCTTGTCATTATTCCCTTAACAATATGACAACTATTTACGTAGAATTTACATTGTATTAGTTATTGTAAGTAATCTAGAGATGACTTAAAATATATTGGAAGAACGATGTATGCAAATACCGTGCCATTCTATATAAGGGACTTGGGCATCTGTGGATTTTAGTATCAGCAGGGGATCCTAGAACCAATCCTTTCAGGTACTGAGGGACAACTGTATTTGTTTTCTTATAGTGTTTTTGAGTATGTCTCTTCAAATAGTATTTCTTTTTTAGTGGTTGCTTTAGATATTATATTACATTTACAAAACTTATCACTCACTAATGGTGTCATTATTTTTTCAGTTCCAGTGAAATATAGAAATCTTGTCTCACTTTACGTCCTTTTACTCTCCCCATTCAATGTATAATTGTTTTAAATATCTCCTGTATATACGTTAAAGTCACAGGAGTCAGTGTTAGAATTTTTCCTTCAAACATCAAACATAATTTAGAAAACAAGAAGAGAAGGAAAGCCTATTTTATTTGCCCATATTTTTGCTTATCATGTTCTTTTTCTCTTCCTAGTGTTCCAAGATTCCTTCTTTTGTTTTCTTTCTATTTAGAGAACACCTTTCTGCCATCTTTTAGGGCAGGTCTGCTGGCAACAAATTCTCTTAATTTTTCTTCATTTGAGAATGTCTTGATTTCCTCTTACACCCTGAAGCATATTTTTCCTTGGTCTACAATTGTGGGTTGATAGTTCTTCCGGTTTGAAAAAGTGTGCAATTAAGGCCTCCATGGATTCTGATGAGAAGTCCGTTGTCATCCAGGTTGTTTTTCCCCTGTATGTGCGGTGCTTTTTTGGATCTCTTTCAAAGGTTTTCCTTTGTCTTCAGTCTTTAGAAATTTAATTATAATGTCACTTGGGGTGGATATCTTTGGTTTTATTCTGTTTCGGTTTCACTAAACTTCTTGAATTGGTAGGTTTACATTTCTTGTCAAATTTAAAGTAATTACCTCTTCAAGTACTTTTTCAGCCCTTTTCCTCCCTTTCAGGACTTGGACAACATAGACCTAAACCTTTGACAGTGGCATAGGTCCATGATGCTCTGTTCTTTTTTTTTTTTTTTTTTTTTTTTTTTTTTTGGTC